GAGAGTGAGAGCACACACAGACACTCACTCGACTCAGACACGGACTCGACTCGACACGACGGACGCAGACACGACGTGGCAAAGTCCCGAAGTCGCAAAGTTGCAATCTTGGATTCCGAACACAAAGTCGCGGCAAGTCACAGTGAAGCACAAGCACGGAGGCCAAAGACTGAATGCCCCAACGGGGCTCGAGTCTGGTCTTAAGCACCGGACTCAGGCTCAGTCCGGAGGCCCAAGGTGTGGCCTGCCTCAGGACTGAACTGAGGGTCGCAGGTCTGAGTCTGGGCGCCAGAATGCCGGATGGCGCCAAGTGTCGAAATCCGAAAGTGCCAAAGGAGGGATTTGAAAACGGGCGCCAACTGCAGAGGATGCCAACAGTCAGAAAACGAAGAGCAGGAAATAAAATAAAATAAAATAAAATAGCAGGCTGGCGGGTGGTACCCCGCGGACCCTGGATTGAGCCCTGGCAGAGTCCGTAACACTATCCCCTCCCTCTAGAAGGCAACGTCCCGGCTGCCAAAAGCCATGAAGCAATGCTGAACTCTCGGAAGGACATGACGGGGCCGATCACTGGTCAACATGTCAAAAGTAAGAGGGGTATAATGTGGGTGGCCTGGGTCGGGGAGTAAGAGGGAACAAGGTTATCCTATCAACGAGCTAAGGGGTTTTGCAGGGTATTTCTACTGATGTGCTAAGGGGGCTGGGAAGCACAGGGAACAGGGTAATCCTACTGATGAACTAAGGGGTTGGAAACAACGGGGAAACAAGGTAATTCTACTGATGAACTAGGAGGTTCAGGGCAAAACAGGTTGTGGTCCTAAAAAAAAAAGGAAATTTGGCTTGCGATGTATGAGGAGGGGTTGCTGAGGGTCGGGGATTTAGTGGTACAGGTTGAAAATTCCGTGTAGCAGTCCATGTAGATGTCTTGAGAACAGGTCTTGAAAGGTGTCGCAGAAGTGTCAATGAGAAAGCAGTCTTCTGCAGGTCTGTGATGTGGACGGCGAGAGCTTCAGCTTGAATGTCCCAGTAGCAGGATGCATCCGGTACTCGGATCTGTTGCTGAGGTCTGATCCAGATAGCAGGTCGCAGACTGATCTTGATGTCCCTGTCAGAGGTGCTGCTCCAGAAGTCTGCGAGTCCAAGGTGCCAGCCAAAGGGAACAGCATGGTGGCCAACCAGCGGTCTTATCTCCTCGTACTGAGTTGCAGCATGCCATCGTCCTCATGCGCTTGCCATTAGATCCAGTATCGCCAGTGACGCGCAGGGGCCACATAGGGAACTTGGACAAGAGAGACAAGGATGTGGCGGAGGACAGATGGGAAAAGGGGGCGAGACGGAGGCAAGAGCGGATCAGACAGAGGGAGGTCAAGGGGCAAGGGGTTTGCTGGGGGCAGGGGTGTGTGTAGGGCAGGAATGCGGGGTTTTGGTGGGGTCAAGGCGGGGTTTATGCAGAGGTTTAAGGTTGGGGATGTATCTAGGATATAGGGTGAGCGCGATCATAGGCGCGAATAAGTTTCATAGCGTTCTTGAGATTAGAGAGAGGTTCCCATGTAGATTCTTCATTGGGGTATCCGGTCCATTTGACTTTGTATTCTTTGATAGGTTCCGGATGGTCTGATACTTGTGCAGTTTGTCGTCCTATGATGGATTCTACTACGAATTCTGGGTCTGTGGGAAGCATGATTGGTGGAGGTTGGGGGTAAGGTTGATCAACGAATTGAGGTGGGGATTCATGATACTCTTTTAGGTATTCTATGTGGAAGACAGGGTGGACACGACTCAAAGTCAGGGGGGAGTTGGAGTTTGTAGTTGACGTCGGAGGTTTTTTCAATGATGGGGAAGGGCCCGAACCATTTGTTCGAGAGTTTGTTTGACAATCCATGTTCGGGTTCAAAGCGTTTGGCGGAGAGCCAGACTTTGTCCCCTGCTTTGAATTGCAAGTCTCGTCTGTGTTTGTTAATCTTGTTTGCTTGTTGTTCTTGTGTTCTGTCAAGAGCTTCGGTTGCTTCTCCGAGGAGTGGATTCATTGTTGCTACCCATTCAATGAGGGAAGGGCAGGGTGTGCAGGGGTTGAGCTGCGAGGGAAGCAGGAAGTTTTGCTTATATTTCATTTTGTCACCATGAATGGAGGTCATTTAGTACCCAATGCTTGGCAATCTTTTGTTGAAATGGTTTATGAATTCGTTCTAAACTTAGTCAATGAACAAATAAGTGGTGTACCAGCAGTTAAACAACGATTTTTTCCTTTCATCTTTGTCACTTTCCCCAACCTGAAATCAACGGAACCAAAGCACTGATGAGTCAGTCGGAGGGCAAGCGAGGATGGTAGCCAAGGTCGAGGTAGAACGGGGACATGCCAATGGAAGGGCAGACGACGTTGTTATAGGCGATTTTGACAACAGTGAGCAACTGGTCCCAGTCGTGTTGGTGTGGATGACACTACTTCTGCAGGATTCTTTGGAGAGTATCGTTCATCTTCTCGGTTTGTCCATTAGTCTGGGGGTGGAATGCAGTGCTATACTTGAGTGTGGTTCCATATGCTTTGAAGAGGTGTTTCCAGAATTGTGAGAGGAAGCGGGGATCACGATCACTGATGATGTTCTCGGGGAGGCCGTGATGGCGTGCGACATGATCGAAGAGGAGGGTGGCGACGTCTTTGGCACTGTGCGAAGTCGTGCAAGGAATGAAGTGGGCACGTTTGGTCAAGCGACAGACAATGATGTGGATGCAATCATGCCCGCGGTCGGTCTTGGGGAGGCCGCACACGAAGTCCATGGAGATGGACTGCCAATGGTGAGTTGGGATGGGCAATGATTGGAGCTTGTCGGGTTTGGCCCGGTTCGAGGGGTTGACAGCTTGACACGTGGGGCATGAGCGAATGTATGCTTTGACGTCGGCGAGCAGGGAAGGCCAGTAGAAGTAGCGGGAGATGGTGTCGAAGGTTTTCTGAAAACCAAGGTGTCCTGCGGTCTTTGGGTCGTGGTGCTCGACCAAGAGCTAAGTACGGAGACCACCTGCGTCGGGGATGCGAAGTCGGCGAGTGCCTTTGGTATCGATGTAGAGAAGGTTGTCGTGAAGGGAGTAGTCGGGGACTGGGTCAAGATCGCGGAGCTTGTTGTAGATGGTGGCTAAGTCTAGGCAAGAGGGGTAACCTTGGGTGTATCGGTGATGGAGTGATGGGAGGAGTTGGATATGAGTCATGGCAGCGTAGACTTTCTCGGGGGGCTTGTGGTCGGGTCGTCGAGAGAGGGCTTCTGCAACGCGGTTGCTTTTGTCGGGGGTATGGCAAATGGTGAATGTGAACTGGGCAAGGAAATCTAGCCAGCGGGCTTGGCGTGGAGTGATATCTTTCTTGGAGAGGATGGAGGAGACAATGGTGTTGCCCATGCGGATGGTGAAGTATTGTCGGTCGAGGTATGGGCGCCAGACTATGAGGGCGTGAATCACGACGAGGAGTTCCTTCTCGTTGGAGGGGTAAATCATCTCCGCGGGAAGGAGCTTCTTGCTTGCGAAGGCGATGGGGTATTCGTCGGGTGAAGCCTCGGGGTGAGTGGGCGAGTCCTTGATCGAGGGGGTCTCGGCGGTGTCGCGGGGGAAATGTTGGAATAGTACGGCTCCAATGGCGAAGTCGGAGGCGTCAGTGGTGACATAGAAATGGCGAGTGGGGTCAGCGATCTTGAGGACAAGGGCCATGGTGATGGTTTGCTTAAGTAAGTCGAAAGCGTGTTGGCAGCGATCGTTCCAATTGAAGGGCTTGTCCTTGCGTGTGAGTTCGTGGAGAGGGTAAGAAATCTCGGAAAAGTTGTGAATGAACGGACGGTCATAGTTGGCAAGGCCAAGGAAGGAACAAAGTTCGAGGAGGGTCTTGAGCAGGGGGTACTCGACGAGGGTTGTGACCTTCGAGGGGTCCATACAGTTGCCTTCAGCGAAGACAATGTGGCCGAGGTATTCGACGCTCGAAGCGGCAAACGTACGTTTGCTGAGCTTGGCGTAGAATTTCTGCTCTCGGAGGATCGAGAGGACTTGGCGAACATGCTGGAGGTGGGACTCGAAGGTGGGCCTAAAGGTGAGGATGTCATCAAGGTACACGACGACACAGACTTCGAGGAGGTCACGGAAGATGTGATTCATGGCGGACTGGAATGTGGCGGGGGCATTGGTGAGTTCGAAAGGCATTACGAGGAACTCATAGTGCCCGAACCGAGAGCGGAATGCGGTCTTATGGGTGTCGTCCTCGCGGATACGGATCTGGTGGAAGCCACTGCGAACGTCAATCTTGGTGAAATATTTGGCTCCACGAAGTCGATCAAGGAGCTAGGAGATCCGAGGAAAGGGGTACTTGTTCTTGATCGTGATAAGGTTCAAGGCGTGGTAGTCTGTGCACATGCGGAGTTCCGAAGTTCCACCTTTCCTTACAAGAGGGCGGCTAGTACCGAAGGGAGATGAACTCGGCTTAATGAACCCTTTTTGAAGGAGCTCATTGAGTTCCCGCTTCATTTCTTCGGCTTCGGGGACCGAGATTTGGTATGGAGGGTGGCAAGGTGGAGAATGTCCAGGCTCCAAATCGATGGTATGGGATACGCCACGATCCGGAGGTAATCCGGCAGGCAGGGACTCAGGGAAGACGTCCTTGAACTCGTCCAGGATAGAGGTGAGGGCGGGGTCAGAGGGGGGGGCTTGATCGGGTTTGTTCGTTGGGAGTAAGTCCTCGGGACTTTTGCGGTCAAGGGCAAGGCAATACTAGGCGGAGTCGGGGTTAATGCGGGCCATGTGGAGGAATTGATGCGGGGTGACAGAGCCTTGGGAAGGCGGATATGGGAGGTAGGGAATGTCGATGGTTGTGTCGGGGGGGTTGGTGAGGCAGAGGAAGTTGGGGTGGAATGCGTATGGCATGTAGCGGTCCAGCCACGGTGTTCCTAAGACGATGTCGCACATCAAATGCATGACATAAAATGAGACCTGACTGTGGAAGGTTCCTACTGTCATGGTGGTCTCGGGAATCATGCGGTCCCCTACGACGACGATGTCTTTGTCCCCTAGACGAATCGTAATCAGGGAGTCGTAACCGGTAGAGGTAAGACTCGCTTTCCAGACACGTGTCGGTGATGAAGTTACTGGTGGCTCCTATGTTGAGGAGGGCCCGAAACTTAGTGGTAGACGCACCAAGGGTGGCGGCGATGAATTTGAGGTGGAAACAGGATGAGTTGGCGGTGGAGATAATGGTGTTGAGGCGGCGTTGTTCGTTGCCTAACCGGACAAGCCGATCGAGTTGAGCTTGTTCCTCAACAACATCGGAGAAGGTGACAGAGGATGGATTCGGAAGGATGGTGGAGGACCACGAAGCGGTGGGGAGCGTCTCAAGTGATGAAGGTTGTGACGCCTCGGGGTCATTCGATGGAGAGGGTGTCACCGGGGATGGGGGAGGCAAACGGATTGTCGATGCCAAATGGGCCGTCGGTGGGACGGGGGATGTCACCGGCGGGTTGGCCGGCAGACGAGTTGTCGATGCCGGGACGAGGTCCTGGGGACTTTGTTCAGGACAAGGAGGGACCCACGCCTGCGGAGGCGGGTGACGCGGAGGTTGCGGGTCAAGGGGCCAAGGATTGGGGGGTGAACTGTCCAGCATTGGGGCAGTTAGTTTGTTGGTGTCCTAACTGCCGACAACGGAAACATCCACCTTTTGCCTGAAGGTAGGCTCTTTCCTCGGGTGTTTTTTGAGGCGGCCCGGGGGGGTGGTCGGGGAATGGCGGTTGGAGCGATCTCTCTTTTCCATTCGCATCAGGTGCATGGCAGAGAGTTCGTCGGGGGAGAGTGATGTGGTGTCTAGTGGATCGAAGAGGGTGTCAAGTCGGGGGAGGTGAATTCGTCCGACGAGGTGGTGGAGGTGGTGTCAACGATGTTGTGGAAGAAGCGAGGGTGGGTAGGGGCCGATGTAAGTGCGGTCTTGTAGGGGGAGAGGATGAGGTCGAGTTGGAGGGTACGAATGAGGAGGTCGGCGAGGGTCATGGGGGGCTCGTGGATAAGGGCGGCCGCTAGGTCTTTGTGGCAAACGCGTTTAACGCGGGAGATGAAAGCGAAATCGCAGATGACGTCAAAGGGGATATGTTGACGAAGCGAGCGGACGTATTGCACAAAATGGTCTGTTGGTCCGGTTTGTTGAAGCCGGCATAATTGGTCGATATAGTCATCGACCGTTTTTGTGGGTGGAAGGTGGAGGTGATGAGGGTGGCCCACTCAAGGAAGGTGTGAGGCTGGAGACCGACGTGATGGCGATTAGACATTTCAGTGTACCACCAGCGAGCAGCGTTGTCTAGAAGTCGGCCGCCAGCGATGGGGAGCCAGTGGATGACGCGGATGCCGTGGAGGGAGAAGGCTTGTTGGAGTCTGGCCGTGGTGGTGTTAATGGTGGCGAGGGAGGATTTGAGGGCGGTCAACGTTTGGAGGATAGTCGCGAGTTCCGGGGTGGTGGTGCTCGAAGTTGGCTGATCGCCTGCAAGTTCGCGGGCAATGCTGTTGACGGAGTCGGAACAAAGATCAGACATGTTGATGGAAAGATTGGGCCATGGTGGGGGAAGAGGGGGTGGATGACGTGGCCGGAGAAAGTGCAGGCGGTAGCAGCGGATGTGATAGCGGCAGCGGCAGCGGCAATGGCAGCGATGTTGACGACGACGCGTTGGGAGGTCTTGGTTTGGCGTGGTGGCCTGTGGAGATGGGGGGGACAATTCCTATTTACAAGAATAGAGCGTCATCAAGTGATTTAGCAATGAAGGTAGCAGAGAATCGCAGAGCAAGAATTAATTTTGAGTAAATTAATTTGAATTTATTTGAAATGAATTCAAGAGTGTATTTTTCAAGAAAATACGAAAGCAAAATTTTTAGGAATTTCCAAATAAAGAAGGAAAAAAAAATAATTTCAAGAAAAATAAATTTTGACGAAATTTATTCGGATTTGCGTTCGAGGTAAAATTGTATAATTTCGAAAAGGGGTGATTAATTTCGAGTAAAAGAGATTAATTCAGTCGTGAATTAATCGAGTTTAGTCGAAATTAATTAAGGAGTTCAGGGGAAAAAAAGAAGGACGTACTTCTGAAAAGAGAATTTCGAAAAAGAATTGGTAGTCTCTTATCATGGTGTTGGATCCCGAGTCTTTATGGTTTTGTCTTTTGTTTTCGAACTCGCAACGAAGTTGCCTTGACTGGTGCCCCTCTTATGATTCACAAATGGATTGCTTTATTTTTCTCTGTTTTTTTATGTTTAACCTCCAATCCTTTTCTTCGAATTTCCTTTTTAAGCACTGATTCGGGAAAAGAATTCAACCCTGTATTACAAGACCCCGTATTTTCGAGCCTTCGAATTTTTTTTTTTTTGTTTTTTATCCAAGTTCACCCAGGCCAATTTGGCATGTGGTTTACCCGCTTGATCACAAAATCCAGATTTACTCAGGTTTTTTATTATATCAGAGATAGGTGCTTCCATTGTAATATTGGTTTTTCCAAGACTGATAAGTGTAGACAAGAATTTCACTTTATCGCCAAGCTCTATCTTCGAGGATATTCTCAAATTAATACAAATATCATGTACCAAGTTACAAATCCCACAATCACATTGAAAGCCAAATCGTATCACAGTGTTCAGAAAGCAGCATTGCACCAATATAACACCAAAGGAGAATCGTAGTACTGAAAGTCAATATCAATGAGAGCTTGCTCACTCCACCACCAACATATGTATCCAGTCTCTATCTCCCTACTTGGCGCTCGGGCCCCAACCTACTCCCTACACAGCTACTACTAGCCTACTAATTGACAATGCGACTGTTGACGTCAGCAACCTCCAAAGTACTTGAAGATGTCGCCCATGCAGACCATCGCCAATACCAGGTATGAGCCCTCACATCATCATCATCATCATCATCATCCTTCTCTCTCTCTCTTCCTTGTCTCTCTCCCATGTCTTCCCTTTGTACACCCGAAGACGACCCCTGCGCCTCATTGTACATCCAAGCCCGCCAACTATAGAGGTTGGGCTATGGCGCTGCCCTCAACAACGCCTTGCTCTCTGCACGACCGCACGTGCTTGCACCTCGCCGCTCAGCACTAGCAGCAGCCCACGAGCTTCAGCTCCAGCAGCACTGCCGCCAACATGCGAGTGTCCGAATGCCAGGCCAGGGAGCGAGCTCTTTCCTATATGGAAAGAGCCTGCCTAATTCGGCAGCCTGGCTGGACTGGCCTGGGCACAAAAGCTTCCGGTAGGCCCCAGGATGTTGCGCCTCTCTTGCAGCTACTGGGCCTCGTTCGGTTGGGCCTCCCAACTGTCTGTGTATGAGGCTGCGATTCTCGTCCAGAGCCTGCATCATTTTGGAAAGGCCTGGATGGTCTTGCTGCTCGGCCTGTGTTTTTCTCAACCAACTGGCGCAACGAAACTGCCTGGACCCCAAATACGAAATTGACAGTTGAGGGCCTCTCTTGATTTGTTAGGCCCGCCTTCACTTAGGGCGGTCACAGATGCAACAGGGGCCCCCTTAGGCCTGCCGAGGGTCTGACTCCTCGCAAAAATTGCAAAAAGTAATACGTGAATTAAAATAATGAGAAAAAGAATTAATTAGAATTATTTTTGAATTTCCAAAAAAAATATCGAAAAAGAAGTTAATTCATTGTAACGTATTTTCAAAACTTTTGAAAAAGAATTAATTAATTCGAACGAAAAGAATTAATTCTTTCTTAACGTATTTTTTCTTTTTTGAATTACAAGAATTTTGAAAAAGAATTAATGAAAATGATTTTTGAATTTCGAGGATGAAATGCTGAGAAAGAATGCTTACTCCTATGCATTTTCGAAATGAAACGGTTTTCACCTTTTTGCAGTCACAGATGCGGGCCCTAGAGTTCGATCCCCAGACCTCACTTTGCGCATGTACAGTATCGAGTCGACACCCGAGTGTTTGAACCCGTGACCTGTGTTCTGGTAGTTGTTTGTCGTCTGTCGTAGGTCTGTGTAGTGGTAGGGGTTCGATCTGTAGGTCTGTAGGAGTCACAACTTTGTAGAGGTCATAGTTGTAGGTATTATGAAAGGTCAAGGTCGTAGCTGCTACAGTCCTGAACGGTCAAGGTCGTAGCTGCTATGAAAGGCCAAGTCCACAGATTTCCGGAAGGTCCGAAAGTGGCCTTTCGAAGTGTCTCATGTTTAGCTAGAGGCAAGTGGGCAAGTGGTGCGCCCATCTGCGTTACGTCGGCAGTGTGACTGCATCGAGTTGGCAGTGCAAACCCATGCAGTCAGCGGTACCGGTCTTAGTCAGTCAGAGTCAAGTCAAGCAAGTATCGTGTGGGACTGTGTGCACCAAGGGTCTGGGAAAGGGGCAGACCAACGAGTTACAGAGGTATAAATCAAGAGGCAGTAAGCCATGCGGAAACGCTGCTACAAAGTCTTGTGCGAAGGTGGTCTGCAGGTTGGCCGAAGACGAAGTGGGCTGAAGAGAGACAACGTAGTCATAGTTGTTAGAAGTAGAGCGGCCATAGCCGCTGTAGTGGTAGAGGTTAGTGAACGTGTACAGGTGAGTGTGCGTGGGTGTATTCAGGGTGATCCAGAGTTGAGTGCGGGTGAACGGTGGTGTTGAACACAATGACGAGAGTTGTGATGTATAGGCGCTGATGCGCCATAGTTTGTTGAAGCGAGTTTACATCTGAACTGTGTTCTTGGTTGCTATATCTCCGAGCTTGGTGTGGGCGCTGCGCGCCAGTGTGAAACGCCATCTGTTTGCACGCATGTGAAGTGGAAGTGAACGTGAGTCTGATTGCATTGGTATCGGAGCCGGTTCCTGTTACCCCACGCGGTATAGTCGTTGCCAGCAGGGAAGGAGTCGCGCGCCAGTCAGGCGCCATTAGCCGAGGTGCACCATCGGAGAAGATCCGCCATAGCTGCGCTGCGGAGTGAGGTGCCGCATACCTGCACAGAACGACGAGAGAGAGAGAGAGAGAGAGAGAGAGAGAGAGAGAGAGAGAGAGAGAGAGAGAGAGAGAGAGAGAGAGAGAGAGAGAGAGGAGNGAGAGAGAGAGAGAGAGAGAGAGAGAGAGAGAGAGAGAGAGAGAGAGAGAGAGAGAGGAGCGATACAAGATTATTGTGCAGACCAGGAGAGAATGCGGCCATAGCCGCGGAGCTCGAACACAGGGTCACAAGAAAGAGGAAGGTGAAGTGAAGGAGAAGGCAGGAGAGACGAAGGAGAGAGAAGCCATAGCCGAGGAAGAAGAATGGAGAGACCAAAAAAAAAAAAAAAAAGGACATAGTCGGGGGTGCAGAGAGAAAGCAAGTGAGGAAGAAGAAAGGTTGACCACGAAATTTACCGAGCTGGAGTTGGCATATTCTCGCCAAGCCTTCAGCCTATCCCCTCGCCCTATGGATGTGCACTCACCTCGTGGTACTTGCTGAGTCTGTCTGTCCCTCCTTTCTGCATCAAGTCTCTTTTGTCCAGGTGATAGGAACTCTGTGTATGTGGTCATAGAGCTTTGTTGACCAAACCCACACGGGCTGAGTAGGGCTAAAGGCTGTGTCTGACGACTCAACTGACCCGGAGGACACGAACCATCCAAGGACCGGCACAGACCGGCGGGCTGCTCGATCTGGCACAATAGGCCCAAAATCTGAGTTGTGGGCTGCCCAACAAGCTGTCTACGTCTTGAGAGAACTTGCTGATCGCTTCGTCCTGTTTGCGACGTTAAATAATTCCTGAGGAGTTATGGGGGATCTCCTTAAATGCCTCCTGATCAGCAGTAAGTCCTGTAGTGACAGCCTTAGTTTAGGTCTAGGCTAGAGACCCTAGTTGACAGGATCTTTTTAAGATTATGTGGTCCTTAGATTGAGTCTGTCTTAAGTTAAGTCAGTTAGGGGGGTGAGTCTAAGTGGTGAGGAGTGAAACTGATTCTGGGTTGTACACCTTTCACCATGGTTGACACAGTAGTGGCAAGAGCACCAACCCTTACACCAAGGCTCAGGAAGAGCAGGCCGCTGCCGTCCTTAGAGAGAGAAAGGAGAAGCAGGCCAAGAAGGACTTGATTAAGCAGGCCAAGAAGTTGGTCGTGCAGGAGGAGCAGGCGGCGAAGAAGAAGTTAGAGTGGAAACTGCGTCTTATGAGGGAGAGGAAAAGAAGGATGGACGAGGCGAGCCAAATAGCGAAGGAGTTGGAGGTGATTAAAGAGCAAAGGGCGCAGATCTAGGCACAAGCTGATACACAGGGGAAATAAGATATTATCTCTAGAAACATTAAGCTCATGGCTAAGGCCTGGGATGAGCAGTATCAGTTTTCGAGAGCCCAGGACCACATGAGCCTACGGCAGAGGTTGCTGGCCAGTACCTAGACAGCTGTCCAGAGACTGCTTGTGTAAGAGTCTCTTTAGGTACTTCCCTCACAGGCGTGGCTGAAGAGTTGAAGGAGAGGATGCGTGCCTGGGCCAAGATGAAGAAGGATGCGAAAGGACAACTAGTTTTAGTAGATGTAGAAATTTTTAGAGGTAGAGTAGGGGCCCTTATAGACAGTGGGGCCACCCGTAGCTATATTAGTAGGAAAGCCCAACAGAAGTTAAAGCTAAACTTGAAAGCCCAAAAACTAGAAGACCCTATAGTCAGTATCCTCGCAGACAATCGCACTATGCGAGTCGACGATTACGTCGAGGAAGTCCAGGCGTACTTTCGCCTAGAGAAAG